TATATATATATATATATATATATATATATATATATATTAGGGCTGTCAGTTTAACACGTTAACTTAATTAGTTATGAAAAAATAACATGATTAAAATATTTTATCGCAGTTAACACACTGCGGGGCACCCCCAAACCTGTACGTCATCTTACATTTCATCGTTGACTGTTGTCAAATACAATGCAGGGCAACAATTTAAAAAATGCAGTTATGCCCTAAAATTCAAGATATTTGGGGGGGAATGTATGTCTCATATCTCTCATACCTTTTTGTCTCATATTTATATATACATTTATATAAGCGATATCATACGAGCAGCGAGAGCAATATCACAGTTCTGTTTTTGTCCTGATTTGCACGAGTGCAAAGGTGATTTGATACAACAGTTCAGTAAATAAGAAGTTAAGATTCTGTTATATTTTAAACACAATATTGTATGTTTTATCTAAATTTTGCTAACGAAAATATTACCTATAAAGTCACAGCAGAACTGTTGTGCATCTGTAAAAAACACAGCGATGTTTGGTTTCTGAATGAATCTGCGTTTTGAACGAATCATGTGAACCAATGATTCAAAGGCCCATTAAAGACAGACGGTGCATTCCAAACGGGATATATCGCCCTCCGAAGGGCACTTCGGAGTGAAAACAATCATGGTGGCCATACTGAAGGGTCGTCCAAACCGAAGTGCTCAAAACTGGCCACTTCAAAGGGCCCTTCGGAATGAAGGTTTTCGAAGGGTACAACTGATGGACACTTCGGGCTCCCATGATCCTTTGCACAGATTCTTTGCATGATGACGGAGCCTCCGTGCGGGCGCAGGATGATGACGCAGAAGGGCACTTCAAGAAACAGTTGTTTGGTCGCCTACACCCTTCAACCCTTCGAAGCTCTCACTCCGGAGGGTAAACCCTTTGAAGGGATGAGCCCTTCCGAATAGAAGGCAGGGCAAGCCGTTTACTACATTCCTGAATGAATCAGTCGTTTGAACGAAACAGTTTCTTCTTTAGAGTATCATTTCATTTACAAAAAAAAAAAAAACATTAAAGGGATAGTTCACCAAAAATAAATTATGTCATCATTTACTCACCCTCATGTTGTTTCAAACCTGACTTGCTTTCTTTTGCACAACATAAAAGAAGGTATCTTGAAGACTGTTGGTAACAAAGCTGTTTTGGTCACTAGTGACTTTCACTGCATGAACAAAAAATACTGAGATGTTTCTCAAATGATCTTGTTTTATGTTACATACTTTATGCTAGGCCGTTGTAGCCTAAACATTTAACACAATAAAAGCTTTAAATTATCTTTTGGGGGTATTTTCACAGCCAAATTTTGTTTGAGATTAATTAATCGCAGGACCCCGTAATTAATTAGATTAAAACATTTGAATTGACTGACAGCCCTAATATATATATATATATATATATAATTATATATATTTTTTCTTTTTTTAAATCGGCAAAACAAATGCAGCATAAAGTGTATTCAATAAATATATTTATTTATATATATATATTGAATTGTAGTAGTAGCAGCTCTCTCTCCTTGTTTTCTAGGCAATGTGTTCCTGCCACTTCTCCAGAGGTCTTAATGGATCTGGCCCATCAGATATCACAGCAGCAGTCTACAGAGGTGCTAGTGGAAGATGATGATGGGGTGATGGAGGCAGCTCTGCGGGTTCTGCGGGTTCTGCGGCAAAGTGACTTTAATCCCTGTTGCACGCTTTCTGTGAAATTCTCCCAAGACAAACATAGCAACAACATTAGGAATCAGCGTCGCTTCCTCAGACGTCTTGTTTCAAAACTGCAGATGGCAGAAATCTTTGAGGGCCCTGATGGATCTAAAAACCTGGCTCTGAACTCAAAAGGTAGGACACTTTTTGTTTGTTTCGATTTCCTTTTCTTGAAAATTTGCCATTCCGGGCTTATATACATAAAGCCCCTCTCACTGCTGCCTTCAAAATGAACAATTGTTGTGTGTGAACAGCTCTGAGGGATGACCTCTACTTTGAAGTCGGCAGTCTGTTGGCCCTCTCTTTGGTTCATGGAGGTCCTCCTGTGGGCTTCTTCTCTCCAGCACTGTACCATAGTCTGTTTAACTACCCCACAAACTACAGGCCTACTTTACAAGACCTTGGAGACACTGCTTTTGCACACAAAATCCGACAGGTGAGTTTTGTTTTTCCTGACATTGTGCTTCAAACCTGCTGTTGCACTGAGGTGCGTCATTACAGTGAACCAAAAGGTTGTTGTACACCTGTTAAACTCTAAAAGTGCCCTTTTAGATTGCAGAAGCAAAGTCAATGAAGGAGCTGAGAATGGCAATGCAGTCAGCATCACAGTATTTGGAAGCAGCCGGTTGCTGGCGAAAGATCAGAGAACTCCCAGAGAAGGACATGCTGGTGGAGGATGTACTAAATTTCTACCTGATCATCAGACTACAGCTGCCTCTGCAGAGGTTGGTACCCTAACTTATTCCTGTGATGGCAAAGCATTATACCAGTCTTCAATATCACATGATCCATCAGAAATGATTCAAAAATGCTGACTGCTCAAGAAACATTTCTTACTGTTATCAAAATTGAAAGCTGTTGTGCTGCTGAATATTTAGCTGAACCCATGTTTTTGGTCTTTGATGAATAGAAAGGTTCGAAAGAACAGTATTTATCTGAAATAGAATTGCCATAAATGTGACCCTGGGCCACAAAACCAAAATATGATGTATTGATTTATACATGAATGAATAAATAAGCTTTCCATTGGTGTATGGTTTGTTAGGATAGGACAATATTTGGTCAAGATACAACTATTTGAAAATCTGGAATCTGAGGGTGCAAAAAAAATACAAATATTGAGAAAATCGCCTTTAAAGTTATCCAAATGAAGTTCTTAGCAATGCATATTACTAATCATAAATTTTGTTTGGATTATTTACAGTATGAAATTGACAAAATATCTTCATGGAACATGATCTTTACTTAATATCCTAATGATTTTTGGCATAAAAGAAAAGTTGATCATTTTGACCAATGTATATACAATGTATTGTTGCCAATTGCTACAAATCTACCTGTGCTACTTATGACTGGTTATATCGTCCCGGGTCACAAATGTCTTTACTGTCAATTTTAAAGCAGCTGAAGTAAAGTTTTTATTTTGTTTTATTTATTTTTTTATCTTTCTAAGAAAACTTTTGAATGGTGGTGTATACAGCAGATATGTTTAATGTTTTTTCTCACTTTTCTCAATGTTTCTCACTGTAAGTAAATGCTCATTCAACTGACAAAATATCTTCATGGAACATGATCTTTACTTAATATCCTAATGATTTTTGGCATAAAAGAAAAGTTGATCATTTTGACCAATGTATATACAATGTATTGTTGCCAATTGCTACAAATCTACCTGTGCTACTTATGACTGGTTATATCGTCCCGGGTCACAAATGTCTTTACTGTCAATTTTAAAGCAGTAAAGTTTTTATTTTGTTTTATTTATTTTTTTATCTTTCTAAGAAAACTTTTGAATGGTGGTGTATACAGCAGATATGTTTAATGTTTTTTCTCACTTTTCTCAATGTTTCTCACTGTAAGTAAATGCTCATTCAAGTTCATATTGCCTTTCTCAGATTTCGTGAGGGTTTGAGGACACTAGGACTGTTTGAGCAGGTTCAGATGTGTACAGAGGCTTTCCATTCAGTCTTCTGTGGGCCTGTGGAAAGGCTGACGGCCAAATCTGTCATGGAGCTCTTTACCGTCCGGTTTTCAGAAGAAAAAGAGCAACAAGAAAAAGAGAACACAACAATACACTTTTGGAAAAAGTATCTGCATGAGTGTGAAGGTATGTTCACTACAGAATTCATATTGTTTCAGTACAATTTAGATTCTTATGCATATTTAAAAATGTATGATAAAATATTAAGATATGTTAGAAAATAAGAAATTAACCCTTTCCTTGTGTTTCAGAGGGTCAGTGTGCAGCACCACTTGAGGACCTCCTAACATTCACCACTGCTACAGATTTGGCTCCGTCCATTGGATTCCATCCCACTCCATCTATTTCATTCTTCAGCTCACCAGACCCCTCGTGTGCCTTTCCTCAGAGCCACTGGGATGCCAATCATCTCTTTCTGCCAATACAACCCTCATATGAGCTCTTCAAGAAACACTTGGATTACACAGTGTGTCAGTTCTCAGTTATGCAGGGCATTTAAAAAAAAAAACTCTTCTCTTGACTGGATATTTCAGTACATTCACAGCGTAGATTTACCTAATTATATACAATAGTGCTAAAGTCTATTTATTAGGGTTATCAAGTATTATATAAACAGTATTTTTCAACCTAACTCACGTTAGCATTACTTGATCATAGGTTGCTCCTCACTGTATTTATCAGTAACCCAGGTGTTGCTAAATCCTCACAGTTATTTATCAATAAATTGGAATCCCTCGACAAAAAAATTTTTTTTAACAGCTTTGATTTGAGCCACTCAGCACTATTAGGACTTCAACTGCAAAGCAATATGTGTTCCATACGTCTTGGAACACAATCTTAGATGTAATAAGACTGTTCTTTGTGTTTAAAAAAAAAAAAAAAGGTTTTCTTGTAAATTTAAGTGCACTGTTCAGAAGTGTACTGGTAATAGCTAGTATCGTAACCAAAGTTTGAACTGTTGAGTAGTGTTCTGTCGAACAGCATAGGTATTTAGCAGTAATAGGAATTTGATTTGATTCGATTTTTACATTTTGTTTGTTTTTTTGTAATAGAAAAACAGTTCACAATAACAGCAGGTTGTAATTTTTTGGTAGCCACAAGATGGTGCAATTGCCCCCCTTTTTGCCACACATTGGCAAACTGCTGCCACTGCAGATGAATCGGTAGTTACTGAGTTGAATGGTCTCACTGTTTTGTTCCAGAGACCCATGTTAGAATCATACACAAGCTGGTATGCTTTTGTCCTTGTATAATGTTTCATTTCTCCTGAAGTAGCTTGAAAGTGTATGATAGTTTGCTAGCTTCATATCGGCCATAATTTATTAAACTTTTTACTTTTCTGTTACCTTCAGTGTTTTCCCCCTTGATTTATTAAATGATTGTTGATTTATAATTAAGGATGTGATATATAAATCGGCAAAACAAATGCAGCATAAAGTGTCATTTGTAAATTGTTATTAGTTTTAATACTGCTGCATAAGTCTGAAGAAACTTAAATGGGGCAAAATGGTTGGTTGTGGTAAAAAGAACAAAATAATCTTAATTTTTGTGGGGGAAAAAACTTCTATCGATATATCAGTTTAAGTGGTTTATTTCACTTCTTGCATCATTTTGAAATGCCATAATGAATAGTTTTACAATGCATTTTCATAGTCATACATAAAAACATCCATGGGTCTAAAAATCACAAATTTGAAATTAGAATTAAAATATAAATCATTTTAAGACCCCTTTAAAAATCCACTAAATGACCCCTAGTGTCCCCGGCCCCTGATTGAGAACCACTGACATAAACACAATCAAAAACTGTTGACCATCCAACAACTTTGAATCAATTATTGTAAATTTGCCAGGACCAAACCAAAAAGCCCAGCCAGAGTGCACCCCAGTGAACTCTGTCCGCGTGCGCGTTCTTTTTACGCAGACAGCGCTTCGCCGGTTGCCACGTCACCCTCACAGTCGTCGCTGCATAAACAATAAAGATGGCGGCCTCCATCCGGGAAAAACAGACGGGTTTGTTCATAAGTTTGATTTTATATCGGAACACTCGGTACTGTAAATATAACTGACATTAATGATTTTCACGCGGTTTTTAAAACGTTTTTATTTAAAATACATACAATAATACCGACTACATAACAGCTGAAATTTCTCAATCATGTCAGTATAGCTGAGGATGCTAACCGTGTTGTTCATCTAGCAGCTGGTTAACATCAGATGAATGGAAGATTATTCTGCCTGTCTACATAAAGAAGCACTTGTGGTTTTGATAACTACATATAGCTAACCGTTAAATGAAATATACAGCTATCAACATTACAGAGACCTGTCATGAAGAACCCACTATATGAATTGATATGCTAGCTGAAGTCACTTAACGAAAACTATTATGCTTATTATTTAGTGGTACAAAACAGTCATGATCCTTATGTTACGTGGATACTGTTTTATGCTGAATTTATTCATTTTTTTCTGTGGCTGACATTGTCCTTAATGGATATTGACACTTTCTGTGCAACTGCTACTGTTGAAAATCATATTCGTCTTTATGAATGGGCAATATGATTTGTTGATTAAAAATAGATAGTGTGTTTATACTTTATAAAATACATAATTTAAATTTTTTTAAAAAGTTTTTCTGGTCAAATCCTGCCAACGCATGTAGGCTTCAGTGATTTTATTCATTTTTTAATAAAATTACTTTTTATGCACACACGCAAGTCTTTTGAAACACTATCAAGTAAATTAGTATCTATGGTAATAAATGATTTTCAGTAGTGATTGAAGTGATTTGAAATGTTGATGTATTATATTTCTATGATGTTTCTGTTCTCAGCTGCGCTGAAGCGAATGCTCAACTTCAATGCGCCACCTTTGAAAAACACAACAGCTGAGCCGGTATGGAAGGTAAGGGTGCTCAACACACACCTAGGGGGTTCCCCAGTTGTTGTTGTTTTTTTAATGTGGCTCAGTGATGCTTTTATAGTTATAATTTGCATAAACATTTACCCTTTGCACTTCTTGTTAGGTTCTTATTTACGATCGCTTTGGCCAAGACATTATATCTCCCCTGCTGTCTGTGAAAGAGTTACGGGACATGGGCATCACTCTGCACCTGTAAGGATCTCTAAGATTTTGTTTCTTAAAAAAAAGAGATTTGATTAGATTGATTTGAATGACTGTTTGCTTTTTGTTTGTTTCCTCTAGCTTGTTGCACTCAGATCGCGACCCCATTCCAGATGTTCCTGCCATTTACTTTGTAATGCCCACAGAGGAGAACACTGACAGGATATGTCAAGTAAATATGTTCACTAAATAATTGAGTCAGTCTTTTCATCGGTCCCGTTCCATGACGGTTTGTGAAGATCACACTGTTTTAAAACTAATAGTTATTTTCACTATCACAGGATCTCCGAAACCAACTATACGAGTCCTACTATTTGAACTTCATCTCTGCAATCTCCAGAAGCAAGTTGGAGGACATAGCAAGTGCTGCTCTAGCAGCTAATGCTGTAAACCAGGTGACCAAAGTAAGCCAAACACATTTGTTCATTATGAACATTAGTTATTAATTTGATTCGATTTGCTAGAGTTTTTAATTTAAAAATTGTGTTTTTGCAAAACAGACAAGCTCTGTGAATTCCTGAAGGAAGGCAAATACCGTACTGCTCGTATTTATTATACAGTTCAAATATTAGACTGTTCTGTTCCTCCTCAGGTATTTGATCAGTATCTGAACTTCATTACACTTGAAGATGATATGGTCATTCTCTGCAACCAAAACAAAGAACACATCTCCTACCATGGTAAGCTGCTAGAATGGCTTGAAGTATTCGTTTTATTTGTAATCTGAATGTTATTAATGCTGCTACTGTTCTGTGCCCTTAGCAATCAATAAACCAGATATCATGGACACAGACATGGAGGCCATAATGGACACGATAGTGGATAGTCTCTTCTGCTTTTTTGTCACTCTTGGTAAATAATGACAGAGTTTTAATTTTTCCATGCATATACACTGCTGTTAAAAATATATTTTTTAAGGTTTTTAAAAAGAAGTGACTTATGCTCACCAAGGCTGCAGTTATTTGTTTAAAAATACAGTGATATTACAGTAATATTATGAAATATTATTACAATTTTAATATATTTTAAAATGTAAATTTGTAATGCAAACTAGTTTTCAACAGCCATTACTCCAGTCTTCAGTGTCACACTGAAGAAATCAGTTCAGAAATCATTCTAATATGTTTATTGTGTGCTCAAAAAACATATATAATTTTTATCAATGCTGAAAACAGTTGCTTGATAAATAGAAACTTCAAAAGTGCAGTGTTTATTTGAAATAGAGATCTTTTGTAAGATGTTTTTACTTTCACCTTGGACAATTTATTGCATACTTGCTGAATAAAAGTATTCATTTCTTTTTAAAAAGGTCTTACAGAACACAAGCTTACAGCAGTAATGTGCAGTGACGTACGAGTTAGAAATATTTCTATTTACTATTCTACTATCAGCACCAAATGAAATAACAGAATTAATGACTGATGATTTCAAACAAGATTCCCAATCACTCCATCTGTCTTCCATTGTTTGACAAAACAGGTATTCCCATCGGATTCACAATGTTGCTTACACTCTTCAAGGGAATCAAACAACAAATAGTTTACTTATACTGTATGTTCATATGTTAAGCTGCCATTTAACATTCAAAAAAACCTTATTCACCTATAAAGATGCTTTAGCACAAAAATGGAAAATACTTACTGCAAGAATGTGCTAAGACACAATCCATTCCTCACATGGAGATGTTCACCGCTTTTTAATCCACCTAAAATCTAATAAAGCAACGTTCTTTCATGGTACATGAAGTAACTGTGAAAATTATAGATTGACGAAGACTTGATATTTAATCAAAATTAAAGAGCAGGTTTTTAAATAATAATTCTCACATTACAAAAATCAAAAACAAATTTAAATCTCAACTGTCATAAAGAGCCACTGGGTGGCAGAACCTTCCTAATATTGTTTTGTATATTGCTCAAAGGCAAAAATATTTTGATAATGCTTTAAATGTTTAAGTTATGTCTATTTACTTACTACACGACTACTAGAATTGTATATGACAGAAACGTCACAATTCAAATTAAGAGCAATGATCAAGCCTGTATTGTTGTTTTTGAAATGGGATTTTGTGTGTCTTGGGAGCTTGTGAGCAGATATTTAATGCACCCTCCTATTGGCAGTACAGTGAGCTTTCCTGTTATCATAGGTGCTGTCCCAATAATCCGATGTCCAAGAGGGAATGCTGCCGAAATGGTAGCCGTGGTAAGAGACTCACTGCTCTGTTTTTTAATGTTCCTCTGATACTTGCTTTATGACCAGTCTGAGACACCTTTGTCTTCTGTTCGGTAAAAAGCGGTTTATGAATTCTAGAATAGAGTATTATAGAATGGCTTTGGTCATTTGATTATCACCTCAGCTCCTACGCTAATCTCTGCATTATGG